AGGTCATGTGGGACAGTGTCGAATGCCTAGCTTTTGAAAAAATAGTACATATTCATATCTTCCTTATGAACCATCATTAACAATTTGAATTTGTCACAGTGTAACATGGAAGAAATAGTTCTTAAAAAACTTGAAACCAGTTATCTAAGGTTCCTCAAATAATCAGGTGATTGTTGTGTAGACTTTGAAGCCATTTCAAGGCCTGAGAGTCGAGATTTTTAAGTAAGAACTGATTCCTCCTTTATTTTTCTGAGTCAGGTTTTATTAAGGAAGAAACAATGAGCAGGGTTTTTAAGCAACCTAGATTTTCTTACCTGAAATAGTTAAGGAATCTTGTCCTTTTTTAAAATAGTTTACTCTCTGTGTAAATGAATATGTGACTGTTTGATTAACCAGTCAATCTATAGTTGTTTTATTCTTGCTAATGCACTAGAGAATATGCTATTTTACTTTTTTTTCCCCTCTTTCTTTCTTATTTTTAAAGGCGAGAAATGGCTCTACGGATGTTGGTTTTATCGGCCAAATGAAACGTTTCATCTTGCAACACGAAAATTCTTGGAGAAAGAAGTTTTTAAAAGTGATTATTACAATAAAGTTCCTGTTAGCAAAATTTTAGGCAAATGTGTGGTCATGTTTGTTAAGGTGAGAGACTGTTCAGACTAATTTGTTAAGCAGCTAATATGTTCTCTGCTATTTTCTTGAAGAGCTGTAGACATTCTAACATAGAGACATTACTCTAATACTTAGATAAAATAGGACTTGCTCCTGTGTACTGTTTGTATGCTTAATTTGCTTCATGAGGTAAGTAGTTCACCCATGCGATGGTGTTTTGTGCTGGTTGGTTTGTGAAATCATTTGCTTGTTAGATAATTAGCTAATGAATTTTTCAAAGCATATACTAGAGAAATTGCTGGTAATTTAAAAGTTCCTGTAAAAGCATGTAGATTTAGGTCTGGCAGAGAGGAAGGCTTGAATGGCTTGGTAAGAGAATGAAGTCTTTCTCTTCTTTGCAACATCCTATCTTGGCCAGTTTTTTGAAGGTAGTGTGTTTGTATGGCATAAAGCACTACAACTGCTGGCTATGTCACACTGTGTATCACAGTCACATATCACTGCGCATGGAACTTGCCACCTGTCCTCAACTTGGTGATCATGTCCTCTTTCGAAGTCAAAGCTCGGAAGTCTTGTAAAGCTAGTTTTAGGCTGCAGATCTTGTTAATGTACCAGTTTGGTAAATGAATAAACCCCAACTTTTCTCACGTGACAACGTGTGTTCAATTTAGCTGTTTCTCTAAGGATGGAATTTCTTCTTGTTTGCTTTCAATTTTTAATGTAACTTCGATGTCAAACTGGAAGAAAAGAATTCAGCAGAAAGGCTTTATTAGTCTAAAACCTTTTCTGATAGAAACATCCAGAAAAACCCAGGAAGCATGAGAGGGAGTTCAGTGTGTGTGCCTGTGGTGTATGTGTTTGTGTTGCTGAAATATTTCATAGTTTTTCTTCAACCTGCAGGAGTATTTTAAGTTGTGTCCTGAAAACTTCAGAGATGAGGATGTCTATGTCTGCGAGTCACGTTACTCTGCAAAGACAAAATCTTTTAAAAAGATTAAACTGTGGACTATGCCTGTGAGCTCTGTAAGGTTTGTCCCACGAGATGTGCCCCTGCCTGTGGTCCGTGTTGCTTCTGTGTTTGCTAATACAGACAAAGTAGATGAGGAGAAACACGCTGAAACATTGGAGGACAGTAAGGTGGGAGAAAGTGTCCTTCATCTTGAAAAGGTATGTAAGATAACAAGTAGAACATGAATTACATTTGACAGATAAAGAATGACAAAATATGAGCTCTCATGACTTCATTTTCACAGCATCCAGACACAGTAAAATATGAATAAATGTTTCTGTTATAAATTATGTTATACTCATTTGTAAACAATAACAAACAAAATATAAATTGACAGGACAGAAAATAAACTGTGTACATATTTGCTAGATTCTGCAAATGCCTTCCTGTGATCATGTGAATGGGTTGTTCGGGTTTTTTTCACACTTCCGAAAAGAAAATTACACGTTTACTGTAAAACTTGCCTTAAGCTTAAAGAATTAGTAGAACTAAAGGCCTAATTGTAGTTCATTGCAATGCTGAAATGCTTTATTTCGTAGTATTTCAGTGAAATATTAGCTAGGCAGCCGTATGCAATGCATAATACTCTGTTGTTTGTGACCCATTTATGATGGGTAACTGAGTGGTTTATTGTGAAATGTTTTAAGACTATGTCTCTCCAACATACTGAGTAAAATGTTTTATTTTATTTTTATAGTAATAAAATAAATAAATTCAAATAAATGTATTAAATTCAATCTAATTAAATTTATCTAAAATAAATTTAGAGCCATAAAAAGTCCAAACATACAGTCATAAAATAAATCCGCTTCACACTGAGTTCTTGAACAGAACCCCAGAAAAAATACCCAGCACACTAATTGTCAGCTTTAATCAGATACTGAGCATATATTATTATTATTGTATTATTGTATTTACTCATATTATGACAAAAGAAGGAGTTGTTTCTGCCAAGAGAGTGAAAACTTCTGGAGATCTTTTCCTTCCACACGCTGGGGAGATAGCCTTTGTTTTCATTGGCTTTCTGAAATCCTTGTCAAGTCAAGTGTGTCAAGTGAGACACAGTGTGATTTTTGACTAAGAAGTAAGAAATTTAGTAGGGCAGATGGTATGAATCTGCAAGCAATATATAGAGTGTTCATATTATTGTTTATGAGAGTTGAATCATTAAATTTCTTTGTATGTTAACTTGGCCGTATACTCAATACTTGCCTCTTAAACATGTTACTATGCTTTAAAACAAACTATCAAAAAAAGCTGACATGGCTTGGCCGGTTAACTGTGAAGCAGTAGAACAGAAAAGGACCTGTGAATTACTGTTCTGGCAAAAATACAGCTTTGTGAAATAGGAAAGCTTGCAACACACACTGAGGGTATCTTTGGCTTTGCTATTTAATTTTTAAATTTCAAGGCCCCTCACTTCACCTGTGCAGCTCTATGTAGCGTTTACCTATTATTGGTAACCTAAAGATAAAGTCTTTTACTTGCACCTGGTATCTTTTTATTTATGTGTTTGGTTTTCTTTCTTCCACAAGTTTCTCAATGCATATTCTTCTTCAGGACAAAGAAGATGTTCCAGTAGAAATGTCCAATGGAGAACCTGGTTGCCATTACTTCGAACAGCTTTGCTACAATGATATGTGGCTTAAGGTTGGCGACTGTGTCTTCATAAAATCACATGGGTTAGTGCGACCTCGAGTAGGAAGGTAGGTGCAACTTCTTTATTTGCAATTTGCATCTATAAAGTAACTTGAATAAAAGATGGGCTTGTTGCAAGAAGTATGAAAGAGGATGGGGGAAAAAAGGTCTTCTGAAGGAACCTAGATGTTGCAAGCACTTAATAGATCGACATAGAAGTTTAGCCGCCTAATAAAAAGGGGATACAGTTGTACAGTTGAATAGGCTGTTCTTCTCTACGTGTGTTTTACTAACAGTCTTCCTGAACAGTGTAGGGCATCCAGTTGTCTCATTTCTGAGGGATGGCCTTTCGTTTATGTCAGTGGTTTGGTTTGCTTTCCAGAATTGAAAAGATGTGGGTGCGTGATGGAGCTGCATATTTCTTTGGTCCAATCTTTATACATCCTGAAGAAACTGAACATGAACCAACTAAAATGTTCTACAAGAAAGAAGTGTTTTTGAGTAACTTGGAGGAGACCTGTCCGATGACTTGTATTTTGGGTAATTATTAACAACTTCAAATCCAATGGACACTCATTTTTTTCCTATATGATCTGGAGTGATTTGTAGCTATGTGTAGGCTTGAATCCAAGAACTCTATTTTTATATTGAGCAGGGGAGGAGAGATTATTCAGTCCATTTCTACTATGCATTCGTATTTCTGGGACCTGTAATGAGAATTTTCACTATAAGGAAGCCCTTTCTATAATAAGGGAGTTCAATGTATGATATCAAAGTGAACGTTGCCTGCAACCAGAGAACAGAAAACTCTGTTACTCTCACTTATTAATGTAATTGTTCCAGTATGTGCTACCTGGAAGGTCAGTCCAGAAGGAGGTTGCAGATTGGCTTGCTACGTGAGATGGTGACTGCGTACTTTGTTTTGTAGTTACGATGCAGTGCTAAATATAGTTAAGTGACTGCTGATCATAGGGTTTTGTTATTTTGCAGGTTTTCATGTTCTTTAAACAAATCCAAAAGCTGCGTTAAGTTCATGTATTTTTCTCATGAGTGGCATTATTTGATCAGGATATCGATTGGTGTGTTTTCTGTAGATGCAATACCAACAATCTTCCAGACTTAAAACATTGGCAAAAACTTGAGTTTCCACACTTTTTGTAAAACATCTGCAGGTGTGGCTGCCTTCTTATCCAGCTCTTTCCTTTCTGCAGGAAAGTGTGTAGTTCTGTCGTTCAAAGACTTCCTCTCCTGCAGACCAACAGAAATCTCTGAAAACGATGTGTTCCTTTGTGAGAGCCGCTACAATGAAAGCGACAAGCAAATGAAGAAATTTAAAGGGCTGAAGAGGTTTTCACTCTCTGCAAAAGTTGTAGACGATGAAATATATTATTTTAGGTAAAAACGTAATGGGAATGAGGGGGGTCACCTGAGCACTCTTCTGTATTATGGTGGTCTAACTCTGGTTGGCAGCTAAGCCCCCACCCAGCCACTTGCTTATTTGCCTCCAGTGGGATGGGGGAGAGAATCATAAGGGCAAAAGGAATCAAAACTGGGTCAAGTTAGAGACAGTACAGTAAGTGAAGCAAAGCTGCACACACAAACAAAGCAAAATAAGGAATTAATTCGCTGCTTTCCATAAGCAGGCAGATGTTTAGCTGTTTTCTGGAAAACAGGGCCTCAGCATCTGTAATGGTTACTTGGAATGACAAACGCCATAACCCTGAATGTCCCCCTTTCCTCCTTTTTTCCCCCAGCTTTAATTGCTGAGCACGATGTCATATGGTTTGGAATATTCCTTCATCAGTTTGGCTTAGCTGTCCTGGTTGTCTGCTCTTCTACCTTATTGCCCACCCCAGCCTGCTTGCTAGTGGTGCAGAGTAGGGAAAAAGGCCTTGATAATGTGCCAACACAAGTTCAGCAGTAACAACCACATCGATGTGTTACAAATACTGTTGGGGTCACATATCCAAAACACAGCACCATCAGGCTACTATGCAGAAAGCTAACAGCATCCCAGCCAGACCCAGTACATACATAAAAGACACACTTTTAGGAGAAGATGAATTGTGACTAATCACGCTTTGGGAAGAAATCCAGATAACATCAGCCTTTTCATGGTCTTAATACCAGTGGATGTCTTATTTTTCTTCTCCTGACTTTAGGGAAAGTAGTTACATTATCAGATTGGTAAATTCTCATGGATGTCTTCAAAATACTTCAGTTCTCATTATGGGTAACAAATAGCTTTTCAGTTGATGAACATTGATATTAATAAAAATATTATGCTCTAAATTAAGTAAAATTTAAAATCCAATGAAGATGTGGTGCTAACTGCCTTCTATAAAAAGAAAAAATGAAGTATTTGCTGCTTTGAAATTCTTTCTAACTCAAAAAAATAAGTAAATTCTTCTAACAAGTGACTGAAACAAAACACTGCTCGTGGACACTGACTGATTTCTGCTTAGTGTTCTGAAAGGAGGCACAAGCACAACCTAAGTCACCATTGTTTCCGTGTTATTCAATGGGGAAGGAAAAATCTTTGGTTTTCTCTTTCAAAATATATGTTATCTCCTGTAAAGTATGAATATATTCTCATTGGCGGTTTTTCTTCCTCCTCCACCTTTCAGAAAACCCATAGTTCCTCAGAAGGAACCATCTCCTCTGCTGGAAAAGAAGATTCAGCAGCTAGAAGCAAAATTTGCTGAGTTAGAAGGAGGCGATGAGGACATGGAAGAGATGGGAGAAGAGGAAGGTGATATGACAGAAACACCTTCTATGCCTCAACTTCAGGCCCCGTTAACTAGTGAATTGGATATAATGCCTTATACTCCACCACAGGTAAGGATCTTCCTTGGGAAGCCTTTAAATATTCCATGTTCTTTTCCCAACCCAAATAAACAAAGAAACAGTAACATTTTATCATATACACATAAGAGATTTATATTGCAGTTTATGAGACTCTGGGATAAATTACACAGAACAGTTTTGGCATATCCAATATGATATCCAGGTGACGATATTTAAGCCCATTAATATATTTTTAAAGGAAATAATTTTTGTATGATATGTTAATCTTATTTCTAATGAGTAGGTTTTCTGTGATACTTGCTCAGAAGTATCAAGTCCTTATATTAAATATGAGGTTGGGATGTAAGGGCTTAATTATAATTCTCAATTTACCTAACACCCCTTTTTAAGCTCTTCCTTAAATTCTGAAAAAGTCTGGCATTTTGAGTGTTTTGCTACATTTTTAGAAAATGCTGTGCATCATCCTCAAAGGAAAAAAAATCACTTTTTTAGAACTGACTTTAACCATTCTTACTTGGAAATAAAAACTTGTTAAAAAAATAGAAGAACTGGATGCCCTAGAAGCTTTAGTATTAATTTGCTGATAAACATATAGGAAATGAAAGAGGAATTGTGTGAGGTTATAAGCCACTTGAATGTGGCATGAGTCATAGCTGCTGCTTAACTGGTGGACTTTTGATCCCCTTCCCTCTCCTGTGGTGTTTCTTACACAAGCCCTGGTGTTTATATAACTGAGTATTGAAGCAGGGAGAGGAACTGCTTTAACTGGTAATTACCTTACCAAAAAAGCTCGTTTGCAACTGGATTAGATGCTTTATCTGTCTCATGATATTGCCACATCCAAGCTAATGCCAGCATTAAAGAGGCAATGGGAATTACCTGCTGGGAACAGGAGGGAGTTTCAGACCCTTTTGTAGCCAGCAGTTATGGATTTCTGCTGCGTTGCATTGACTGTGAAGTGACAACTTCATTGGTGAGTGAAGAAAAGATGTGACCCCTGGATAGAAGTAACTGTCTTTGGATGTCATGAAAAAGACTTTATGAAACTGAAGGCTTTAGCTTGGTTTGATGGTGGTTTTTTTGCCATATGGGCAGACCACCAAATGCATTCTCCTGTGCAAGGTTGTTCCACTGCTTCTAGTTTTAATGTGCTCAATTTCATAAGTAGCATGAAAACTCTAGCAGAGTATTACAAATAGAAAGCATGTTACCAGCATTAATCAACTAATGTACTGCTTCAGGAAGGGGAAGGTAACTTTTTATAAATCAAATTATTATATTGTTAAGCACATGGAAGTTGCTGAAAGCAGTTTAAATAGGGATCATTGGACATTAAAGGTGTCCAGCTGCCTTCTGCAGCATTCCCTGTCTTTTGATCTCCTTTGCTTTGTGTCTTTCTACAAAGATGTGTTTTGCTCAGATTCCCTTGAGAAGTTTTATTTAAATACTAATATATAATATCTCATTAAAAAGGCAAGTTGATAGTTGCATTGGGTTATTTTAATTGTTTGTAATGGGACAGTCTTACAGAGCTTTCAGGATAACTGGTGAAAAGTCAAGCTCGATGGATATATCCAACATATGTGTATGTACCTTTAGACAGATGTGAACTCAGAAGTCTAGAATTTGAAAAAAAAACAAACACCCCAAACCACAAACAAACCAATCCCCAAACCAAATAAGGAAAACTGAAAAGGATCAATAGCAGTACATGCCAAGAAGTGAATGATGATACACAGGACCCCTGGCAGATTCCTCACACTGCTGATTTGGAAAGAAGAGGCATGTTGTGTCTGAGCTGGCATTCAGAGCACAGTTTAGCTCTGGTGGAGAGATAACTAACATATAGCACAGAAATATACTTTCTTCTTCAGATAATGTGGTTTATTTATGTCCCAAGTGAAAAGTGTCTCTTTAAACAGAGCTCCTAGGTAAAAGGTATGTGTTTCCTTCATCTTCTCGTAAATATATGGAATTTTATTTAAAAATTGTTAAACCCCAGAACTATTAAACTTTATTTTTTTTCTCCTGATAACAAAGAAGGTCTTGTACACCTAAGCATAGAAGAGTCAAGACAAGTGAATAAGTGGTATCGTGGGGCTTAACAAATAGGCGGATAATACTCTCCTGCTGCAGTTTGCTGTGAAGCAAGTCAAACCTAAAAAAGAAAAAGATGTGCAACTTCATTTATTGCTGTAGCAATATGGATGAGAAAAGGCATAAGAGGGGGTCCTTGTCTATTTCTTCTCTTAACACATCTAGAACTGAATATGCAGTTGTCTGACTCAAATGGAGAAGATTCTGTTCATTTCAAAATGGTTGTATTGGAGATGTAAAAGAATGAGGAACGCAAGAACTGAATTCAGAATTCTTAGTTTCTCGAAGGTCCTGTTTGCCCTTCCAAACTGATGAGTAGGCTTTTACATTAGATTACTGTTACCAAAACTGTTGCAAGCACTATAAGGGCAAAACCAGCTGATAACCTTGCAGCTGTCTAAATGTAGATGTATAAAAGACCAAAAATATTATTGGATTTTCTTGTTTCTGAATTGAGAGCTCTCCATCTCTCATTGTGGGCTTGCCTGAGAAGCAGTTGATGAATTGTATGTGCCCTGTGTGGAGTTTTCTTTGCTTCCTCTATCTTAGAGAGACAAACCTAGAAGACTTCCTCCCAGAAAAACAAGTGTTGTCTTTAGGTTCATAATGGAAACATTAAGGGTAGAATGCCGTTTGAAAATTCACACAGGGAAGTGTGGAATAACATAGAAGTATGCCTCCGTTTATCCAGTCCCCAGCTTAAATTGATGAGCAAGACTTTTTAAGCATCTTGATACTGCTGAAGCTTTGTTTTTTAGATGAGAGAAGAGCGTTGAACAGTGGGGTCATAGTGGCAAGTAGGAGGAGTTAGTAACGTGGCCAGAATTTCAGGATAGGAAGAAAGGCATTGCATGTATTTTTCTTTCATTTTTTCCCCACCAGGTACTTGGAAACAATTACACTTTTCAAGATGTGAGAAATCTGTAATGTTTGGGATATGAGAAGGGCCTTTTGAGGGTTTTGGTATGATGAGACATTTGTCGACCTGAGTGATCAGAGTAAGGGAGAATTGTGGTCTCCTATGACAAATATAGGTGGAAGGAGCCTTCATGAAGGGGGTTCCAGCTCTGGTATCTCAGTGGTTGTCAGAATGGGTGACATTTTTTGATGGCTGCAAACATCAAGGAGCTCTCAACAGGAGCATCCATGGTGGGAAGAGCAAAGGAGCAGAATTTTTGTTACCCGTCAACATAAGAATGTGATGTGAACCTATCGTGCAGGTAAACAGTGATCAGCAAAACTGGGCTTTGGGTTTTTCAGGGAGAAATGACTACTTACGTAATGAGAGAGGGATGCTAGAGAGAAAGGAAATCCTGGCAGGCAAAATAGAGAGCATTTAGGGATAAGAAGAGTGGAAGATGGAGCCAGGAAGGGTGGGGGTTGCAAAGGCTGAGGAAGAAATGGGGGATGCATCTTCCTAAAATGTGGAATGGTGAATAAAATGTTTTACTCGTATTGGCAATATTTCTGAACAGCATAATGGGTGAAATCTGTGACATAACACAATTACTTTTATTCTCTTCTGGCATTCCCAATAATCATTTATTTGCTACTCAGCCTTTCTTAGTCCTCTTGTTCAGTTCGGAATGATCTTAGCTAATAGTAAGCACTTTGTGTTGTCTTACTGGGAATTTTTAAAATCCTCAGTCATACATGTGTGGAAGGGTTGAAAAGCATCAGAACATTGTCATTTTTGATGGTTTTTATTTTTCCCTGTGTACTTTTCATAAGTGTGTGCATAAGCTTTTGTCATGCATCAGTAGATGCAGTCTCTTTTTAGGGGCTGTAAGGTAGGATGTTTCTCATGCAAATAAATTCAAGAGAATTCTAGGAATATTTAAAAATACTGTTTCTTACAGCTTGAATTTTGTATGTCGAGAAGCTTCTCTTTTGTACACTTGTGGTCATAACTGCTTTTTCTCACAGTCCACTCCCAAGTCTGTTAAGGGCAGCACCAAGAAGGAGGGATCAAAAAGGAAGATCAACATGAGTGGGTACATCTTATTTAGCAGCGAGATGAGAGCTGTGATTAAAGCTCAGCACCCAGATTATTCTTTTGGAGAGCTCAGCAGGCTTGTAGGAACTGAGTGGAGAAACTTGGAAGCAACAAAGAAAGCAGAATATGAAGGTAAATAAAAACTAAGATGCTAAACTCTTTTCTGCCTTTTTTTTTCTTTGAATGCTTTCATTGCTGTTATTCAGATGACAAGTTTAATAAAAGAAGATACTTATTTTTGTGTTCTGGACGTACGTTAAAAAAGAAGTTCATATTGAAAGATGACTGAAGAGGAGCAAAGAGCATGTTTAAGTTATGTAGTGCACAGCTGGCAATTTAAATGTCTTTGCCACAAATAAGCAAATGAACAAAGACCAAGAAAATGGGGACAAATTAGAAGTAAAGGGGTGTGAAGTCCCTGGGCTGGAAGTCAGTTGGAAAAATGGTTTGTGAAAGTTTCCTTAAAGGAGGACTGGGGGGAATTTTGGACAAGAAGCTCTTTGGAGTTGTAGCGTCAGGTAAGAAAGGCTCACAGTGGAGTGGGA